CTGAAGGGACCCGGGTTTGATTCCGGTCAAGGGCATGTACCTTGGTTGCGGGCATATCCCCAGTGGGGGGTGTGCGGGAGGCAGCTGACTGATGTCTCTCTCTCATTGATGTTTCTAGCTTTCTATCTCTCTCCCTTCCTCTCTCTACAAAATCAATAAAATATATTTTAAAAAAATAATAATAAAAGCTTAAACAAAAAGCTTTAGTCAAATCCAGTGACATATAAAACACAACAGCATGAATGTGGTCCATGAGTACAAAGTTGATTTAATATCTGACAATCCCTCAACATAACCCACCACATGCAGAGATGAAAGGAACAAATACACTGAGTGGCCAGATGATGATGATCTCTGAACACATAATACTCTGGCCACTCTGTATATATCCTATATAATCCTATATAATAAAAGGCTAATATGCAAACTGTCCCCTCGACCAGGAGTTCGACCAGCAGGCAGGTCGGCCAACTGCCCATGTCCCCTGCTCCTGGCCAGGCTAGCCAGACCCCACCCATGCACAAATTCATGCACCGGGCCTCTAATGTATGTGTGTGTGTGTGTATACACACACACACACACACACACACATACACACATACTGAGTGGCCAGATTATTACACATTCAGAGATTATAATAATCTGGCCACTCAGTGTGTATTATCACCGCAACAGATGCAGAAGAAAGTGTGTGGTAAGATGTAATGGCTGTTCATTTAAAAGTTCTTAGTGAGCCACGTAAAAGGGAACTTTCGGTAACGTGCAGAACGATATCATACCTCACGGTGAAATACTGAGCACTTGGCTTGGAAAAAAAACAACAAAAAAGGTCCAGTCTCTGGCCTGTATCCGCCATTCCATGGGAGAGCAGGCCAACGCAGTAACGCAGGAAAAAGAAATAAGACGCACGGAGATGGAGAAGGCGTACAGAGGCGTGTGCACAGCGCAGATCTCCATGGATCTCTGCTACTGTAGCAGTAAGTGTGTTAGTAACATCACCAGACTCCAGTCAGTAAAATGAAGTCAATTGTTTTCATAAATACACGAGAATCGATCAGAAAGGAACGTTAAAATGCCACTGACAGCTGCCTTAAAGGAGGTCTTTCGTTCCTGCACTGAGACCACAAAACACTGACTGCGCCTGCAGGAAGGCGGTGTCACCACGTTCCTTCTCGCCCAGACCGCTCTGCAATCAGCCAGCTCACACAGCCTGCAGGCCTCGTGTCTGTGCGTGTGCAAATCAACCACTCGACACCCACATGCACAGGGCAGTGCCACGGCCCACGGAGGCCGAGCAGATCTCCAGGAGCAGCCAGAAGCCCCGGAGGACACTGCCTGCCCATCCGGGGTCACAGCAGGGCGGCAAGTCCTGGTCAGAGGGAGACACCTGAGTCTGATGCTCATAGAGGCCCAGGGGTGGCCAGAGGGGGAGACACCCCGAGTCTGATGTCCACAAAGGGCGGGTGATACTGACTGTTTTCTTCTCTCCAGTCTCCTTCCGACGAGGCGGACAGGAACCTCTTCCTCTCCCCCTGCTCCATTTCAGGCTCTGGCAGCTCGCCCTTCCTCCCACCGGCTCCGGCTCCAGCTCCGGGTCCAGGTTTGGCGCCAGCTCCTGCTCCTGCTCCGGCTCCAGCTCTGGCTCCGACTCCAGGTTCTGCTCCGGCTGCAGCTCCAGCTTCTGCTCCTCCTCCTGCTCCAGCTCCAGCTCCTGCTCCGGGAGGGGGATGTCAGGGATGGATCCCAGCCGGGAGCAGGGGCAGGTGAGGGCTGGGGGGGGGGGGGTGTGTGGCAGGTGTGGGGTGGGGAAGGTGTGGGGAGGGCAGGTGAGGGAGGTGTGGGTTCAGGTGTGGAGTGGGGCCAGTGGGTGAGTTTGGGCTGGGCAGGCTGGGGCAGGTGAGGGAGGTGTGGGGAGGGCAGGTGAGGGAGGTGTGGGGAGGGCAGCTGTTTGGTGCGGGAGGTGAGGGGTAGGGGAGGTGGGGGAGCACACATGAGAGAGGTGTGGGCAGGAAGGGCAGGAGGTGGGTAGGGGGACAGGCCCACACGTCCGGGGTGGGGGCTGGGGGAGGCTTAGAATGCGGTGGGGTGTGGGGCTGGAATTCTACCGGGAGGGCGGGTCAGGGGCTCCTCGCTGGGGCGGGGCGGAGCCTCCTGTCTGGGGCGGCAGGCCGGCCGTGGGGGGCCGCGCTCACCCGGGGGTGGTCCGGGTGCCCGCTCCCCGCCCCCGCAGCCCGCCCCCAGCGCCCCGCGGTCGCCCGGGGAGCCCGGCGGCGCGCATTGCGCAGAGGAGGGCCGCGGGCGGCGGGGCCGCGGGCGCGCGGGGCGGAGGCCGGTGCGGGGCGTGGGGTTGCGCGGGCGCGCGGGCGGCGTGGAGCGCGGGGCGCGGCTGCGGGGGCGGCGGCGGTGCGGGCGGCGGGCGGAGCCGCAGGCGGGGGTGGCCCGGCGGGGCGGGCCGGGCTCGGGGCTGCGGTCCGCGGGGCTGCGGGGGCCGGGGCCGGGGCCGCGGGCGGTGCGCGCCATGGAGGCTCGGGCGGAGGGTCCGCGAGTGACCTCGCCGCCCGCCCGGGTCCTGCGGTCCCAGCAGCGCGCTGCGGCGGTCACACTGGCGCCCCGCGGTCAGAGCCCCAAGTCACAAAGACCCGAGGGTCACAAGCGGTCCCGCCCCGGGACCGGGCGCCTGGCGGGCTCCGCCCCCGCGACCCGGCCCCGCCCAGGCCTCTGGCCTTCGCCAGGGTCCACAGCGCCCCCTGGGGATGAGCGTGGGGAGCTGGGGCAGGGGGGCGGGGCGGCCCCATCTGGAAGAGGCGCCCTCGCTCCCAGGGTCCCCCCGCCCCTCTGCCCTTCCCTCCCCCAGTGCCCACGTGGTGACTTTCTTGGTTTGGTTTGACATCTTCATTTCGGCAAACCGAGGGCCGCCTCCACTTGGAAGTGTGTGTGTGCGGGGTGTGTGTGTGTGTGTGTGTGTGTGTGTGTGTGTGTGTAGTTGGGGGCGGTGGGACCCTGGCCTCTGCCCTGGGCTCTCACCGCTCCCTCCTGGCCTCAGGGTCACAGAATAAATGGAAGGCGGCGCCAGTCCATCACATGTCCTGGGTCTGCGCTCAGCTCTCCCCGGACCCGCAGGGACCACAGCACGTGCTCACAGCTGTTGCTCCGGCAGCATTTGCTAAATGAAAGAAAATGTAAATTGACAGAATTTTAACATTTTCAAACCCACATGTTGGGATTTCTCAAGTTCTCTCTGAACTCAAGTACAAGCCGGCAGGAAGCCCGTGGGTGCCCAGTACCCGCTCTAAGCCTCTGGGCTCCCAAGAAGACCTGGGCATTGCCTGGGGTGTCCCTGGGGTCCTGTGCCCACCTACGGGCGTCCCACCTGCTGCCCCCTGGGAGCTGCAGGGAGGGAGGTGGCGGGGCAGGCCCTATGTGTTGAGCAGGGGAGAGCCGCTGGTGCTGGTGGAGTCTTTGCCAGCCTGGCCCCTCACCCGCTGCCCGCGCCTCTGGAGCCCCAAGGACAGCAGGAGGGGTGCGGGACAGCTGCTGTGATGGCCCTCGGCCACATGCTCACCTGCCAGGTGTCAGTGCAGCTCCTCCGTCTGATCATCATCTCGGCAGCTGGTCACGTGCTCAGAAGGGAGCAAGCAGGGAAGACACTGCCCCCTCACCAGGTCCGCACCGTCTCTCCCCCCACCCCCCCAGCCCTCATCTCCCGGGCAACTGGTTCTTTGGTTCCCTGGCCCCGGCCTCTCCACCAGCCCTGGGACGCGGGAGCCTGAGCCTCCCAGCATGGCCTGCCCTCCCCTCCTGGACTGACGGACACGGCCTGGGAGATGCGCCGGCCTGGACACAGTCCCTCACAGATGTGCTCCCAGCTCGTGGCACCACATCAGTTACTCTGGGGATTCAAGCGGCCTTGGACAGACACACACAGACTGCTTCTGGGCCAGGATTTTAATCAAAGCAAACGTTATTCTCACACCCACACTGCCTGCAGCACGGCAGGTGGACGGTGACAGACGGAGACCCCAGCCCAGGCCAGACCTCAGGTGAGTGAGGACCGAGACAAACTACTTATTAGGAGGTGTGAGGACTGCAGGGCAGTGAGGGCAGCGGCCTGGCCGGGGGAGCGGGCCCACAGGTCAGGAGGGAGGGGCGTGGCCTGGCCCAGGTCACCGAGGCTAACGGCAGCCAGAGACCTGACCCAGTCAGTTTTCAAAGCCTTCAGTGCGCCCGCAGCAGTCACTGACCGCACAGTGGACAGGCCATCTCCATGTGGCTGACCAGGGGCTCAGGAGCTGGAAAGAGAGGTGACACGTGCCAGCAAGTGCCCACGTGGACCAGCACCCTGAGCAGCCAGGCCCTTCTGCAGCGGCTGGCCAGTGGAGGGCAGCAGTGGGCGGTGGACAGCCATGGAGAAGTGTGGGCTCTGGGCACAGGACAGAGCAACAGCGTGGGGCAGAGGCTCAGTCAGAAGAGAAAGACCAAGACAGGATGAGCCAGTGGCCTGCCATCTGCACACAGTAGGTGCTCAACAAAAACAGGGCAGGAGCCCAGCTGGGGTGGCTCAGTGGTTGAGCATCGACCTATGGACCAGGAGGTCATGGTTCAGTCAGGGTACATGCCCAGGTTGTGGGCTCCATTCCCAGTGTGGGGCATGCAGGAGGCAGCTGATCAGTGGTTCTCTCTCATCATGGATGTTTCTCTCTCTCTCTCCCCCCCTTCCTTCCTCTCTGAAACCAATAAAAATGTATTTTTTTTTAAACCCACAAAAAACGGGCAGGATCCAGGTGAGGTACCAGAGGTGGGAAGCAGGCAGCAGGGACAGTGCCCAGAAACTGCACTGACCAGTGCCCACGTCCAGCCGCACACGAGCCCTCCTTGCCCGCACCAAGCTGCCCGCCAATCAGAATGGTCAACCTGTGAGAAACAGACACTGCAGCTGGCTGCCCCCGGGGAAGGGGTCAGAGGAGCAGCTCGGGGTCACAGCGCCGGGCAGGTCTCGGGCCTCACTGGGCCATCTGCACCACCACGGCTCTCCAGGCGCGCTCCTTGTCGAACTCCCTGGGGGAGCTCCTGGGCACCTGCGAGGAGATGGCTCGGGTCATCGCGGGCAGCTGGGCACGGAAGGCAGTGGCAGGCCTGACCGCCCTCAGCCGGGAACCGGAGGAGACCCAGCCCTCTGTGCCCCCGGCTGTCCCGGCCGCCACAGGAACCACAGAGCCTGGGCTCGGGGTGAGCTCTCCCCATGGCCACATGCTGGCTCTGGGGGGGGCCGGGGTCCCAAGGCCCCTTCCTGCCGGTTCTCGGAGCGGCCGGCCCCTGGTGGAGCCACATCTGTAAACAGTAGGCACTCGATGAGTACTGGCTGACGGGGGAATGATACACACAGTGCAGGCGTAAATGGGACCTCCAGGCCCTTCCTGGGGGCAGGAGATGCCCCCCACAAAGTGGGTCTGGACCTGGCCAGGGACTCTGATGCCACTGGCCGGGGCCTGGCACCATAGAGGAGGATACTCCAGGCAGCCGTCCCCCAAAAAAGATCTGCAGAAACAGAGGCAGCTGCAGGTGGCTCACAAGTCCTCCCCCCAATGCTGTACCCTGGTGTCCAAACACAGGACCAGGTCCATCGCCCATACACCAAGGGGCAGAGCCGTCCCCACAGCAGCGCGGCCACACCAGGTCACAAGGACAGCAAGTCTGAGGCTCTGAGGCGTGTGGTGGAGGGAACAGCGAGAAGGATGGTGGTCACCACTGAGGATGGGGTGGGCAGGAGCCGGTCCCAGGAAGACCAAGAGCAGCTTGGTGGCGACACAGCACCAGGGCGTGCTGACCACAGGATGTGAGGCGTGAGGGGCCGGGGGTGGCGCCTCCAGTGCACCTGGGGCCACAGGACCCTGATCAGGGCATCGTGCACCTGGGGGCAGTGGGCTGGTGGGCTGGGGTCCCGGTGAAGCGGGACTGGGTGGGCCCCTCAGCCCATCAGGTGTGGGGACAAGGGGGTCTGAGCGGAGTCTGGGAGGTCTGAGCTGAGCCTGGCAAAGTGGCTGGTAAGCAGTGCCAGCCAGAGGTGGTGACGCCACAGGCCTGCCAGGAGCATGGCCCCTCCCACAGAGCCATGCTCCAGAGGTGGGAGGGACGGGGTGACCTCGTGAACCTGGCATGTTTGCAGGAGTAAAACCATTCAGTCAGGAACACTTTTTTCAGGACAGACTTGTGTTTGCCTGGCTGGCTTTAAAAACCGCCTATTTCTCTTGTTGCAAATGTTTGCTGGTCTTGAAAGAGGTGGCAAGGGCAGGTGTCACCTGCGGGGCTGGGACTCACCTCTGCGGGGCGCTCCTGCGGGCGGGCCCCCGTGAAGCGGGCGCACTGGACCACAGTGGCCGTGTGCAGACTCGCCTGCAGCACCAGCTCCAGCAGCAGAAGCAGCAGCAGCACGTCGTAGGATTGCTGGTGGGAAAGCGTGAGCAGCTGAGCCACGCCCCCCGCCAGGCCCTCAGCCCCTCTGTGACCCCCGACTCTGACCCACTGGCCAAGGAGACCACTGGGGGAACCTAATCAGAGGACGCCGGATGCTCAAAGCCATTTGCCACACGCAGGCGCCAAGGCAAGGACCCGAAGTCTCACTACACACACTGCTCAGGTGCCTTCCCACAACCCAGGCCGATGCCACTGTCTGGCAAGAAGCCTCTATCGGTTGAAGATGGCGGTGGACAGCGGGCTGCTGCTTGGTGGCTGCTGTTAGCAATGGCCGCTGTGATGGCAATGGCCGCTGTGTCTATGCAGCTGCCTTGAAAAACTGTTTGTCTGCTGGTTCCTTGACAGCAATAGCTGCTGCTTCTCAATAAAGCCTGTCACATGCCTAGACTGTGCAGGGCTTCTCCACCAAACATGGGGGTCCAGGGACCTGTGCCCACAGCTGGCGAGAAGGGTCGAGGAGGAAGTCCCCCCACAGCCTCCGGCCAGCTTCCTAGGTGCCATGGGGACAGGCCCCACTGAGCTGGAACCTCAATGACGGAAGCAGGAACCTTCTGCCCAAAGCAGCGGAGGACTCGGCTCTGCTCTGGGTTTAACAGGCACAAAGGGCCCAGGCGGCCGGTCAGTCTTCCTGTCCCCCCACAACTGCACATACAGCAAGGGGGCCTCGAGCCCTGCCCGGCCACGCCCACAGGGGCCTCTTAAGAGCATTTGGAGAAGCGGCGGCCCAGTGAGGTCCCCACAGCTGTCCTCGGGCTGGGGTGGCAGCTCCCGTGACCAGGGAGGACCGCGCAACACACAGACAGATGGAGGAGACAGGGACAAGAGCCACCCAGTGCGGGCGCTGGGCCGTTCAGGAGAAGCAGCGCTGCCACAGAAGCCCCTGGGAAAATCGGGGTCCCTCTCCGCTCGTCCAGGTAAACCAGGGCACAGCACTCGCCGTTCTAATTACAGCTTAACCCTCAGGAGCAATGCAGGAGACGTCAGTAAGTTTAACCACACGGGACAGACCAAAACGCGCGCACGCAGGAATCACGGCACAAGGAGCCGAGGCCACGGCTCGGATGTCAGCCACCAGAGACACCGCTGGTCAGAGATCACGGGAAGGAAAAGCAGATGCTGCCAGCCCCTCACTTGATTCAGAACAGGGGACAGCTGCCCCTGCCACAGCTGGCAGGACAAGGGGACCTCCCCACCAGAGGGGGCTAATGGCACAGATGCCTTTCTGGCCCGGCAGGTGCGCCCTGCGGAGGGTCTCAGTGACAGGACCAGAGCAGCCTGGCCCTCCCTGGGGAGCAGTGGTGACTGGGTCATGGGACTGCATGCGTGTAAAAAGGAGACAGAACACGTGGTTCCCCGGTCGGAGGAAAGGCAGGAGAAACGGTTCGATTAGAACAAAGAACCAGGTGTGCACATGTGACAGAGCCAACCTCAGAGCCATGCACGTGCTCCATGGATTCAAAGACACGATCAGCGGGGAGAGCACCACACCTCAAGGCGGAATATAGAGGAGCTGAGCCGTAAGCGAGCGTGTGGCACCAACAGACGGGCCTTTCCCGTCTGGGGCCTGAGCGGAGGGCAGAGCCGGCTCGGGGCTCGGAGGGGCTCGGAGGGACACGGTGTGCGCCAGACACGGACCACCCCCCGGGGAAGCGAGTGGGAGCCGCCGCCCGCCCACCCCTCCGACAGGGAGCCCAAAGCCCTGTCCCAGAGACACTGCTGACACGTGCATGGTTTCGGGGAGACACGCACCTGGAGGGCCGGCGGGTAGTCTGCAAACACCTCCACGACGCGCCTCACGCTCAAGGTCAGATAGCCCGCGGCCGTGAAGAGCAGCGGCGCCGTGAGGCTGCAGATGGCGATCAGCACCTCCACCTGGGGAGCAGGCGGCGTGGGGCCCGTCAGCATGCGCCGCCCGGGTCCGAGCATCCGTGTGTCTGCTCCCCGTGCAGCTCCTGCTAACGGGTCCGGCCGGCTCCCGCGAATCCCAAGTGCACCACGGTCGGGAGTTTCCTCCATGTGGGCACCACTATCTGTTCGCAGGTGAGGTCGCATCGTGGCCGCCAGCCTCCTGCTGCTGCCAAGACCTGCCCCACACCCGTTCCCACACAGACAGCGGACAGCGAGGCCGCAGTCGCTATCTGACAGACACGGGATGAGGCGAGGCTGGGCTCCCCCTGCCCCCACCTCCATCCCCACCTCCACCCTAGGACAGACCCACCACCCACAGCCTAGTCCCACCTACCAGACACCTGCTGGGACACTCAGCCGTCACATGACTGGCAATGGCGCTTGGGAAACACTGAGAAAGAAGAGGAAAGGAAGTCATCGGAGGGGATAGGCACGGAGCCGGCTCCCAGCCATGCCCTCCTGCCCTGCGTTCGATCGACGGGAGCCTTGGTGTGGCCAGCAGGGGGCCGGCAGCGCAAGGGCCCGTTGCCGTGACAGCCGAGGAGGGCCGGCTGGCTGCACTCACGGCCACTAGGATCCAGAAGAAGGTCACCGCCAGGTGCGGGCTCGCGACGGCCTCGTGCACGTTCAGCGTGATGACCCCGCCCAGCACGGCAGACACGCCAGCAACCACCTCGATGACCTGTGGGGGACAGTGGAGGCAGGGTCCCCAGAACACGCGTGTCCCTGACGTGGCAGGCAGGGTGCGGGGGCCGAAGAGCTTGGGGCAAAGGAGCGACACCGTCCAAAGTGTGAGGATGACCTCCCCAGAGAGCGGACACACACCCCTTACCGAGGTCAGCGGGGAAGGAAGGTGCTTTCACCACCACGGTGGGCACAGGACAGGCGGACACACGTGTCCGCAGGCGCCTCCAGGGAGTGGCTCAGCTCAGAAGGCCCCGAGGACACACACAAATGAAGTGGTCGCTCACAGACCAGCAGTGAGGAGGGAGCCAGGCAGACAGCAGCCAGACATGGATACTCACGGATCTTATGGCAAAACCACCCGTGACGGACTGCTCTGTGATACGGGAAAGCAGCTCCCAGGAAAGATCTAACCTTGTTGTAAACAAACCCAACCCCTCCCGCCCACACTGCAGTCACAGAGAGAAGCCCAGCACACAAACTCCATGTGTGAGGCGAGAAGCCTTGTTACGGGACAAGCAGAGACTTAGCCCTGGCCGGTGTGGCTCCGTGGATAGAGCATCGGCCTGCAGACTAAAGGATCCTTGGTTCTATCTCCGGTCAGGGTACAAGCCTGAGTTATAGGCTCCATTCCCAATAGAGGGCCTGCAGGAGGCAGCAATCAATGATTCTCTTCATCATTGATGTTTCTATCTCTCCCTCACCCTTCCTCTCTGAAATCAATAAAAAATATATATTTTAAAAAGACTTAAAGTGAAATGAGAGGGTGGGCATGTGATGTGCCTCAAACCAGGGCCTGTGAGAGTGACAGCGCCAGGGACAGCAGGTGTCAACCAGGACTGTGTGCCTCACTCACCCCCACATCTGGAGCTGCCTGCACCCCATCTGCACCCACACCCCACTCACACCCGCATTGACATCCATCATCCACACCTGGCAGCTTACGATGAGGTGCCTTGGCACCAACCACATGGACATAGCGCAGGCCATGCGCTGACATCTGTCCAGCCCGCCCTGCCCTTCCCCATAAAGCGGCCGGAGCAGGAGGACGGACATCCTTACGGAGTAGGCCTTCAGCACTCGCGCAGGGAGTGCCACGCCGTGCAGCACGCTGGCGCTGTCGGAGCTGGAGCTGGAGCCCTGGAGAGAAAGCCAGCTGACCTGCCTGCACCCCGTGCCGTCCCCTTTCTCTCCCCACACTCCTTCCCCCTCCCCCCACCCCCAACTCCAGCTAGTGACCGCCAGGTGTGAGCAGCTCGGATTAGCATCTTTCTCACACGTGGGGAAACGTTCCTGCCCCAGCAGCATTTTCCACAGACTGGTCTCTCCAAATGCTCTGGGGAGGTCAGCACAACCCCGCCCTCCACACGCCTGCACACAGCCTGCACACGGCCCCGCACGTCTGCCCATGGCTGCCCACCTTCCGGCGGGACGCCTCGCTGACCCGCGCGGAGACGATGACCGTGGCCGCCATGAGCAGCTCCAGCAGCAGCAGCAGGATCAGGTTGAAGTTGATCTGCAGGGCCGAGGGGGCGGGAGGAAGCTGAGCGCCTGGCGCCTCTGACCTGTGACCTGGATGGACCCTGGGCAGGCGGGGTGCTGCCCATGGCTGATCCAGCTCTGGCCCCTGTCCCACCTTCCCTGCTGCCGGGCCCTCCAGGGTCCTTGCTGTAAAGAGAGGAGCACCCCCTGGCTGGTGGCTCGGTGGTTATAGCCTCGGCCCATGGACCAAAGGGGCTTGAGTTCGATTCCTGGTCAAGGGCTCGTGCCTGGGTTGCAGGCTCCCTCTGTGGGGGAGGCAGCCAGGGGTGTGTCCCCTCTCCTCCTGCCTCTCCCCTCTCGGAAAGCCATGGGGGAGGAAGCCTCAGGTGAGGACTTGGAAATGACAATAGTTACAGAGGGAACGACGTTCATACCGAACCTGTGCATGCTGCCCGTGGCTCTGCTGCCAAAACCGGGGACACCGGCTCTGGCCGTGCTGGCAATTACATGCACCTACTTCTGTGCTAGCGTTCACAGTCAGGTCCTAAACACGTCAACGTCACGTCCATTAGCCACTCACTAAAAATGTCAGCTTGTGCACAAATGGGCCAGCCCAGGGCCTGCCCACCTCTATTCTGGGGGCTCCCCCGGCGGCCCTCATCACCTGGGGCCAGAATCCCAACAGTCAGGGCAGCCCCTGTGCCCAGAACCCCAACACTCTTCACACAGCCGTCCTCAGCCCGCTCCCTGCCCGCTCCTCCCTGAGCTCCGTACCCAGTTCCTGCTCCCCGCACCCCTATATCCTGCTCCCTGCCCTGCTCCCCTCAACCAGTGTGGCCTCCTGGCCCCCACGGCCCCTCCTCTTGGGAGCTATGAGCACAAACATATCTTGGTGGCCGGTGTCCCAACCTGGCCTCCCCTCCCTGAACGATGGCGAACCCACATCTCAAACCCAACGCCATCTGTGCGCTTGCTCTGCAGCACCCGCATCAAAGGACAGCCGGTCCGCCCCCGCCGCTAGGGCATCTGGGGAACTGGCTGGCGGTCCCAGGCAATCCGTCCAGACCAGGCTGTGCCTTCTGACAGCATGGGCCGGGAGGTGGTGCTGAGGGGGCGCCTCGTAAAGAACCAGTGGGCAGGCTCCCACGGCGCCTGGTGCAGCCGCAGCAGCCCTGCGTCACCAAGCAGCCAAGCGCCTCCCGGGAGACAGCGCGGCCGGCGGTGTCCCTGTGGACACGAGCAGCTCAGCCTTCCTGGGGCCGCCCCAGGCTCTCCAGGGGCCGATGCCGGCGGCCACGGCGCCCAGAGCAGGCGGCTTCAGGGGAGGACGCCCTGGTGGGTCCTCGTGTCTGAGAACCGTCTGGACTCTGGGATGAGGATGACAGCTCTTCCTTGTTCTCAGAGCCCCTCACCACCAACGCGTCACAGACGTGAAGAGACCAGGTGTCCCCCCAGGTGTATACGCACTGACGACTGTTAATTCCAGCGAGGGATCCGCCCGCTGCTAACTGTGTGCACATTCTGGGGACACACCCTGCACCACTGTGCTCCCCTTAATGGCTACGGACCGTGTGAAAGGCTCTAAAACAGCATCAATAAGTCTGCCCGCTGAGTCAAAACACGTGCAAGACGGTTCTCTCCTTCAGAAGGATAAACTCCCCCCACAGAGACTCCCACAGGAGGAGAGGGAGACTGGGCCGCATGGCCCAGGGACTCACGTCTATGGCGGACGGGTTCAGAACCAGTTTGCACCCAAACCAGAGCAGACACGTCGTGGTGATAGCAAACGTGGAAACAAACAGCAACTGGAAGTTGGGGATCTGAAAGAGAGTTTTGGGGCCTGTCTCCTTCCAATAACATTAACCCTGACCCAGGTCCCTCGTGGAGCCCCACGGCCTCAGCTCCCAGACAGAGGGTGGGAGGGCACAGGGTGCCCTGCACAGGGGCACGGGCTGCTGTGGGCAGTGAGGTGCATCCCACCCAGGCACACGTGTGTACACAGCACACACACACACACACACACACACGGGCGCATACATTATGCACACACACGTGCGCGCACACATGTGCCTGTCTGCCCACAGGGCTGGCCCCTTCCCAGCCGGGAGCCGTGCGGCTGCCCAGGGCACAGAGGCTGGGAGAGCTGGACTCACCACGGCGGCGTTTCTCCGGGACACCGCGAGGCTCACCACGGCGGCGGGGATGCACTGGAAGAGAGCAGAGCCCGTGAGCGGCCCGCCACGGGCCAGGCCCCGAGGGGCCCCGAGTCTGCCAAGTGGCTATTCTGAAGAGGACATGTGTGACGCTATTCCCAGTGGACACTCGGAGGCTGAAGGCAATCCCTGCGCAGACCAGGCTTCGCTCACGTAGGCAATTACCCAAAGGGGCTGCACCGTGTGCAGGGTGTGGAACTCAGGAGCCCAAGCCCCAGGCGTTCTTGTCGGGGCCCCACCGTGACCCTCACAGGAGCAAAGGAGAAGGGAAGAGGGCAAATGTGGAGCATCAGGTCGGGGGGGGGGGGGAAGGAGGGGAACAGGGGGCCTCAGGACCACGCCAGGAGCTGCTCTTGGGGGTGACGGACCTGCAGGCGCTGCCTTGGGTGCAGCATGAGCTGAGGGGCGGGGTCTTCGGGGCCGCAGCCGTGGTTGGATGGGGCGGGGGCTGGACCACTGAGGGCCAAGGGGGAGCCCTTGGGACCCCATGACCCGTCATCTGAGGGGGAAGGGCACTGCCAAGATCTACGCCGGGACCCCCAGCCTAGGCTGGCGCTGCCCTGAGGCCATCAGGGTCAGAGGTCAGGTCACTGTGGCCCCAACAAGGGCAGCTCCCGTGGTGAGGACAAAGGTCACCTGGAAGGTTCTCCCTCAAGAGGCAGGGTGGACAGGTGGGTCAGAGCTTTGTCCTGAGGCAGCAGGGGCCACCGGGAAGGAGGGAAGGAAGCTGTGCTGTGGCTACAGGCGTTGGAGGAGGGGCCGGCCCACCCGCAGCCTGCAGCGCGGCACAGCTGAGCAGCGTGGGGCAGCCCGAGGCCCCGAGGGCCGGCTCCGAAGCCAGAGACCGGGAGCCACTTCCAGCCCAGGAGCACCGAGGGGCTCAGACTCGCTCATCGGTTGTTTTCAAACGCTCTGGACCCGAAGCAAAGCCCCGAGGAGGGTCCCTGAGCCGAGGCCCAGCACGCGTCCCGGAGCACAAACCCGCGGCACGCGAGCTTCGGTCCAGGACGCCGGGGCGCTGCTTACCGCGCCCGCCGCGCAGCGCAGGTAGTCCATCTCGGAGGGAAACACGTTCCCCAGGTACAGCGAGCAGCCCGAGGTCACCAGCAGGCAGCCCTGCAACACAGCCGCGCCTCAGGGGCAGTGCCTGCCATGCCTCCCGGCACCTGATCCCTGGACCCGCTGGCGGAGGACAGCCACGCCCACCCTGCCCGCGCCAGGGCGGGCTTCCCCGTTCGTTTGGGGAACGAAGGAGGGGCCGTCAAAACTTAAGGAAAGAAATGAAGCCTCTCCCAGAAAACACCCTCCCCCCTCCAGGGGCAATTTCGGGCCTCAGGACCCTCTCCTGGGGTCCAGGCGAAGCCCCTCCAGCTCAGGGCTAGAGATGGGACTCGCTGCAGAGGGTTAGGCTGCAGGGCAGGGGTCAGTGTTAAAGGTCACTCAGCAGTGCTGGGGCCTGGGGCCGAGGAGAGCACGGCCACACCTCAGGGAGGTGGGGCAGCTGGGGCAGGGGCTGGGGCGCAGCTCCGAGTCCAGGGCCCCAGGAGCAGGAGGGAGGGGAGCTTCCTCAGTGCCCTGTGGGGGATCTGATCTCAGTGGGATGGGGTCCTGGCTGGGGAGGGGGGGGGGAGCACGACTATAGGGGTGCTACCCAGGGGGCGGAGGCCCGGGGATTCCCAGGTGACCAGGCATCTGAAAGTGAACGTCCCCTCAAGTGTTTGGTCTGCTCCCCGCCCCGGCCTGACTCCCAGCTCCCTGCTGGCCCCGTTCCTTGGCCCCAGGCCTGCTCGGACACCATGGCCCTGCCTCCTGCCAGGGGACATGTCCCTAGTCACTCTGCCAGAGGCTCCCCCCACCCCTGCAGGGTGACTCTAGAGGGTCCCGGAGGCCGCCCCAGCGCCATGCATGACCCTGCGGACAGACAGGTGGGCCTGGACTGTCCCAGCTGGGGCGGGACCCAGAGCAGCCAGAGTCCAGTGGCCAGGGGAGCAGGGGCCAGAGATGGGGTGAACGGAGGACAGTGTTCGGAGAGCACAGCCCCACAGGGCTCTCTGGAGCAGGATGAGGGAGCGGTGCCTTGTGGCCCTGGGGCGGCGACTCACCCCCATCAGCACAGAGAAGACCCAGGTCTTGTGGCTGAAGCAGGGCGGCAGCCTGGACGACAGCTGCAGGTCGCCGGCCTTGGGGTCCGCGTAGCCCTCGGCGTCCGGCCTGCCGCGCTCCAGGGTGGCCACGCGGTCGTAGCCGAGCTCCTCCCGGCAGGACTCCTCCCGCGGCATGGCGCTGGGGACAGACCGGCCTCGTCAGTGCCGCCGGAGCTGTGCCCGGCGCGCTGCCCACTCTGCTACTCGCCGTCACTCTGGAAACGCTCCGGTTAAAGCGAGTTCCCAGGGGGAGGGCCGCTCACAGCGAGTCCGTGAACCTGAACAAGAGACCCGCCTGCTTCCTCACGCAGCCCGCAGTCGCACCGAGCCCCTTCCCGGCAGAGCGAACCCGCCGCCGGGTGCGGGCCGGTGCCGGGCTGGGGTGCCGCCGACCGGCCCGCCTTCCTCCAAACCCCACGTCCCAGGAAGCCCTGGCTCCTCCACGCCCTTCAGTTACTCAAGCTGAACCATCGCCCCCCCATACACACACACACAAACACACACAGGCACACCTCAGGTCCCCTGCGTCCGTCCGACCGTCTGTGCTCACCTCCCTGGGCGGGTGGCGCTGGTGTCCGGGTAGGGGGCTCGCTGCTGCCCAGTCATCCTGCCGGGGCTCCAGCAGCGACTATTCAGGGGGAACAAAAGCCCGGCAGCTCGGCGCGGGGGCGGGAGCGGGAGCGCCTTGTCCTGAATGTCAATGAGGGGAAGCCGTGACCTGGGAGGTTCGGTGGTTGTGTAACCGCCGGCCTTGCCAGGGCCTCAATTGGCTCCCGGAAACGGAGGCCGCTCGGTCCCACGCAGCACAGGGAGGGCGTGGGCGCCGGGTGGGGGTCGGGGGCTCTGTCTTGGAGACACTTGTTATTCCGGGCGCCCTTTTCCCAGCCCCTGCCATCCTGAGGAAACCCACACTAGGGCACGCACACGCAAACACACACGCACGCGCATGCACACGTCTGCTCGCAGCCTGGCCGGGAGGCCCTGCCCTGCGGGGGCTCTGGCCGGCCCAGCCCGCAGGCAGCCCCCCCTCCCCCCCGGAGTCCCCGTGGCACCCTCTCCTCCTGCTCCAGGACAGGTCTCCCCCCAGGGTGCTGGCGCCGGCGACACAGCGGCAGGGTCTGTGTGTCCACGGTGAGCTCAGGCGCCCGAACACGGGCTCCGCACACGCAAACCCATGGGAGATCCCCAGCATGGGGTGCTCTGTTGTCTCAGTGGGTTTTTTAAAAATGTTTTTATTGCTTTCAGAGAGGAAGGGAGCGAGAGACACAAACACCCATGATGAGAGAGCACCATGGATCGGCTGCCTCCTGCATGCCCCGCACTGGGGACCGAGCCCCCAGCCTGGGAATGGAACCGGGACCTCCAGGTTCGCAGGCCGGCACTTTGATGATGAGGCTGAGACTTCTGCTGGGCGGCCGAGAGCATGTGCTGGAGAGCTGAGCCGAGGGGTCCAGAATCCGGGGATGTTTTTCCCACTCAATTTTAGAAGGCGAGCGAGCAGAGCAGCCACGTTAGAGAGAGACACACACACACGCCCGGCCCAGACCTGCAACCCAGGTGCGTCCCCTTGAGCGGGAGTCGAACCCGCGACCCTGCCCCCGGGGTCGACGCTCCAACCACGGAGCCCGGCCCGGGCTCGGAGATAGTGTGACTCCTTGTCTGACCCGGACAGACCCCGGGACAGGAGGTGGCGCAGGCCTCGTGTTGCCCGGGAACGTGGAGGAGCCCGGGAGGTGAGACGGTGGTGACAGGAAATGTGCCCGCGAGGAAGCCTGCAGCCGCGCGGAGCTGCGAGTCCACGTTCCGGCGCCCGGGCCTCGGAGCAGGCGGCTCACGCCCTGAGGCAGCAGGAGACGGACACCGCGGCCTGGGCACGCCGGAGGGGCGGTCCGGACCCGGGAGCAAAGACGCAGCCGCGACCCGGCGAGTTCTCTCCTGAGAGCAGCGTGTTTGACGCGGAAAAGCTGCCGGCGTGACGCTCTCGGGACCGGGAGGACCGCAACAAGGGCCGCAGGTGCAGAAAAGCATCCGGGACACCCGCACCAGAGAAAGAGCGGGAATCGAGGCGACGCCTGACAGCAGCCAATGGGAAGGAGGCCAGGGCCCACCTGCGCGAAGCCCCGCCCACCAGCACGTGCCAAGGGCAGGGCATGACATCACTCCCACACTGCACCGCGCCTAGGCACACTAACGGTCACCAACGGCCACACGCTGCTAACGTGAGATCCCATTGGCCAATAGCGATGGGACATGGGCGCAGGCGCGGTCTCTGTGATTGCCATTGGCCAAACCCCCGAGGCGCAGGCACAGTCCCAGAGTGGAGGTGCAGCCCCATTGGCCAAAGGCAAAGGGGCTCTGGCGCATACTCCAGTGCGGCAACCCCATTGGCCAAACTCCACGAACAAACAAAGTGCAGGCGCAGGCGCAGGCGCAGGCGTGGTCACCCCGTTGGCTGAGGGCGGTGGGAGCGACGGGGCCACGTGCAGGAGCCCCCGGCAGCTGCACGGTTCCCAGACGAGGCTGCGGCCAGCCATGTTGCGCCTCGCGGCCAAGGTGGTGGCCTTCTTCTGGAGGAGGGCGGACAGCCACGAGGAGGAGACCGGGCTGCGGAGGCTCGAGCCCGCGGAAGGTGCCTCGCGGGCTGTGGGCCAAGGCCGGGGCTGCGGGCGGTCCCCAGGAGGGAGGCCTCCCCCGGGGAGAGCACCGTCAGGCCAGGGACGACCTGCGGACGTCGCCCCCTCCCTCCGGGCTGTCTGCACCCTGTGGGCTTGGAGAGGCAGCTCGAGCCCGGACTCCTCTCCAGGGGCCGCTGGGCGGATGTGGTCTGTGCTCCCAGGTGTCTCCGTGTCTGGGAAGCCGCAGGGCAGGTGCAGGGGGGGGCCAGGACGCGGGCTGCCGCAGCCTGTGGCCAGCAAGTGGGGAGGGTCGCCGGACCCTCCAGGCCAGGCCTGGAATCTCTCGTTTGGTGAGAGAAACAGTCTCCTAACGCTGCGCCCGAAGTTGTTGGTTTAAAAAAAAAAAAATACAGTAGGGATAACAAGTCCCCGGATGCTGTATCATTAACCATAACCCCCATTGCGCCCCAGCCTGCGCCACCTCCCGGGTCTAGGCATCGCGCCCGCGTCTGTCCCGCAGGCAGCTCCCTCGGTGATGTCACCGCGCCTTTGGTGTGTGTTGGGGGTGGGGGGAAGGTGGAGAGCGGGCACGAGGCGGTCAAGGACCCTACCGAGGGTTCCACGTGGCCTTGGAAGAGCTGGCGATAGAGCACCAGGCAGCCTGCCTCCCACACGCGGCTTCCTGGACTCGCCCCGGGAGGGGGAGGGACCCCGCAACCCCCTTGGGTGCCCTGCACCCCACCTCCCTCTAGCCAGGCGGAGGTGTAGGCAGGCTTGCGGCTGTGGTCAGTGGATCCGCCTCATGTATCCCTCCAGGTGACACCAAGTTGAAGACCGTCCAGGGCGTGGTAACGAGGTACTGCAGCGACTACGGCATGATTGATGACCTCATCTACTTCTCCAACGACGTGGTGACCAGCAAAGTGCTCCTGAACGTGGGGCAGGAAGTGATTGCGGTAGTGGAAGAAAATAAAGTGTCCAATGGCCTGAAAGCCGTCAGGGTGAGGCTCGCCTCGGTGTGGGCGCTTGGGGGGGTTGGGGGGGGTGGCGGGGGGCGGTTCCCGTGCCATCCCGCTCAGGTAGCCCCTGGAGACGCCCTGGCTAAGGGAGGGAGTGGGTGTACCTGCCTTTGTTCTGACAGCGGTTTCTGTTAAAAAAAAAAATCAGGGGTGGTCACTGTAAATTGAACACCATAGAAATGTGTAATTGGTAAGTTTGCCTATGTTTTATAGTGTGGAGATGAACACTGTTAACATTTCTATCTTCTAATCTTCAAAAAGTATTGTTAAAAGGAGTAATAATTGCCCTAGTGGTTGGCAAACTGTGGCTCTTGAGCCACATGCAGCTCTTTGGCCCCTTGAGGGTGGCTCTTCCACGAAATACCACAGCCTGGGCGAGTCTGTTTTGAAAAAGTGCCGTTAGAAGAAGTTTAAAAAATGTGGCTCCCAAAAGAAATTTCAATCTTTGGACTGTTGATATTTGGCTCTGTGACTAATGAGTTTGCTGATCACTGCCCTAGCCAGTTTGGCTCAGTGGATGGAGTGTCGCTGTGGACTGGAGGGTCCCAGGTTCGATTCCGGTCAAGGACACATGCCCAGGTTGCGGGCTCAGCCTCCTTGGGGGACATGCAGGAGGCAGCCAATCAGTGATGCTCTCTCATCATTGATATTTCTCTCTCCTCCCTCTTCCTTCCTCTCTGAAAGCAATAAAATAAATATATTTTTAAAAGTAGTAGTTATTGAACCCTGTGCTATCTAGTTAGCAAAGACAATTAGTAGATTCTATTATTCAGCAACTTTTTTATTTACAAACAGTATTTTTGTAATTTCTTGGCAGTAGAATTGTTAGGCAAAGGTTATGCATGTTTACATTTCCATGGTTGTCGTCTGATTACTCCCCAGGAACATGGCACTAATTTGAACTCTCGGGAGCAGGTGCAAGGCCCTCTGTTACCCAAGGTTGACAAGGAAGTGGATGTCCTCACTTGGGAATCTTTGCCAACCTGATCAGTGAACAGTTATCTTGTAATTTTATTTCTCACTTAAATTTTAAAATAGTTTGATATTTCACCATTTTTTTCCTATGGAATATTTTTGTGTCCTTTGTCCATATTTTTTATGGGGCTCAACTTTTTAGTGAAAATTCTACTTTAGGGAAATTAGATCTTTTAAAGGAAAGTTAGTATATGAAATTGTTGCAAATATTTCCCCCAAGATTATCTTTTGGCTTTGTTTCATAAAGTTTTTTTTTTTTTGCAGTTAAATGTGTCTGTCTTTTCATTGTAGCTTCGGAGCTCTGTAAGAAACCTCAGGCTGGCCAGGAGGTCACGGTTCGATTTCCGATCAGGGCACCTGCCTGGGTTTTGGGCTCCATCCCCAGTGGGGGACGTGCAGGAAACAGCTGATCCATGATTCTCCCTCATCATTGATGTTTCTCCCTTCTCACCCTCCCTTCCTCTCTGAAATCAATTAAAAAAATTATTTATCCAAGAGCATGGCCATTTTCATCTATTCTAAGAGT